CTTGGTTTATTTACATAATATTGTTTATTTACATAATAACTTTAATTGCTGGATGTTCGGCCCCTCAGCTGTTGACCTGCAGTAACTGTGGCCCCCCGGAGCAGTTTAGTTGAATAGCCCTGATCTAACCATGACTAATTTCATTTTACATTCAACAAAATGTTGTATTTAAACATGACAACATTAAAATAACACACCAGCTCAGCTGGATGTTCTGACACAGACTGTACCGTTTGTTTTTAACTGCCGAACATCCTGAAAACCTTCCATCACAGGATTAATGCAGTCAGGATCCAGTTTGGCCCGTAAAGAGTGAATAAAGTGATATTTGTTCTGACGGTGAGGAAAGTTCTGGAGGGAAAACTTGTGGCCGCTTCCAGGCGCTGCAGCATGGCCTCGATCCCGTCACCGGCCCCCCGTGGGAACGTCTTTAATCTGGGACCTTCAGTCACTGGATGAGGAGGAACAGGTTGAACTCTTCTCTCTTCAGGCTGAGTCAAGCTCCACTCAAGTCTCTGTAGCCTTTCAGGTGATGCAGGTAGTTTGGATCTGCGTCCACCAGTCCAACAGAGAGGATCTTCGCCAGCAGGTGGACGTCTTCCTCGCTCAGATCCTTCTGTTGAGGACAAACAACTGGATTAGATTAGATTAAATAACCTGAAATAATCTGAGGTAAACGGGTGTGGACTCACCATCTTGCTGTTTGTGCTGGAGTCAGACGGCTGAGTCTTCTGGGGCTTTTTATCCTGAGGACGACAAGAATCAAACTTTATTTACTTTCATTCTCCTTTCTTAATGGTCTATTTTTTTTATTCTAAACTAAAACAAATACTTTACATTCCTAAATAATCTACAGCCTGTTTTAGAAAAGGTTGTCTCGAGTAAAGTGGACAAACGTTAAAATTAAAGTTTTAGCTAAATTTGTTGCCCCGTGTGCAGTTTTCTAATTCTCATACATCCACAAATTAAATACAAACTTTTTAAAATTAAAATAATATAATTCTTTTGAAACAGAAAGTCTTCCTCCTGTCTGCTGACATCATGAGGTTCATGTTGACCAGCAGCTGTGGAGTGAAGCAGTTCTAGGGGGGTCCAGGAGTATTCTCCCCTCAAAAATTTAGTAAAACTATGCTTTTTTCCAG